TTTTTTATTTTTTGTCAGTTTTGGTCCTCCATATTAAAATGACAGTTTTTTTAAACTTTGGCGATTTTCATTATGCATGACAACCAGCTGCCAGTTTTAAACCAAAACGCCACACTGTTCGTTGGTGCTCAGAGTATCTGATGGGAATGACTTAAAARTACATTTTGTTTGCTGTACTTGTATGTCTGCTTGGGAACTTTAATTTATTATCCAAAAACTCACATTTCAAGTTTAAATGGTAAATGGCTTGAACTTATATAGCACCTTATCAAGGCCACTTGGACCTCAAGGCGCTTTGCACTTCAGGCATTCACAAATTCACACTCTGAAAATCCTCCTAGTTTGAAGATTTATTGGGTATAAATTTCCTTAAAAGATTCACAAGTCACCCAACAACTATATATTTGTGTAATATTTGTATTTTTTGATCTAAGCATGTCAGATGTTTTTTTTTTTCAAGAAAAGAGCAAAATGTGTTTCCCAAAACCTTTCTACTTCTGTTTTTTTATTATCATCCATTTGCAGACAAAGCTTTTGTCTTTTATTCTCTTTAATTAAATTGAACCATCTTTCTTCCTGTCTGCCCTGAAAGTGAAGGTATTTCCTGCACAGTTTAACAACAGAAGCTGAAAGTTGCCTGCAGGTGAAACTGGAGATAAAGTTCTGTGAAGTTTAGTGCCTAATTCATCATTCTTTGCACCGACAAAGCTCTCAGACGGACCAATTGTTCGTTTCTTTCTGCTTGTAGAATAAAGGACAATAAATTTTTACTTTATCCTTTCAAGGACACAACTTAAACCAGGAACAGAAACAGAGAATTTAAATGCTTTTATTTTGATAGTTTTAGAAAATACAGAAACGTTATAAACGTTTACTCATAAAGTTAGTTGGTAATTTCATAAGAGATTTTGGGCAGCTGAGCTGTTTTGTTAAACTAACTTATTTACCTAATATTTATGGTTTGTTTTTCATTTTAAAATGCTATTGGGGGAAAAAAGAAACTGTTTGCTAATTTATTCCATCTCTTTCATTTGTCCAGGCTCATCATGGGAGAAATCCATACGACAAATTGGCTTTGAGAGGTAAGACAATAAATAGTTAATATTTTATTAAGCAGTTCACCTTAAAATCACTGTGAGACTGGATTTTTGACACAAGGCAGTATTCTTAGAATTTGAGACAATATACTGTATTTTTGAACTCTGGCTTATTTATAAATTTAAAGAAGCTGTAAAGGTTAAATCCAGCAGGAAATGTTTATTGGAAGCTGTCATGTTGTATTTTTGGAACCAGAGTCTGTGCACTAGAGATGTGGAGTCTTAAGCCCCGCCTACTCTCTGTCAAAGTGTCGGATTTCATTTAGGCATTAACTGATTACAGCTAAACTTGTAAGAAAAACTTATGGCAGCAAGGTGAGAATTATGAGAGTTTAGTATCAAAGGCAAAGTCCCGTTGGTTAACACAAAGGGGGCGGGGCTTAAAATTTGTACTGGAACAAGCTGACGGGGTCAAAATGACCCACGAAGGCTTCGTCTCAAAACTAATGGCTCGTGGGTCATTTATTTAATGTTTACAACAAATTTAGATTATTAGCATGGGAGTCAACCTATTGATCTAAAATGTGGCATGGTTGTAGCTGAGAGTCATCTCCATCTCATGCTTTGAGCACCAACAAATATTTGTTAAAATCTGTTAGTGGTGGGTGTTAGATTCATTCAAGAAACCTTACTTTCATTTCATACAGTCAGATGTTTTGCATACATATATATATA